TGGAAATAGCACATTAATGAAACCCCCCATTAATAGCAAATTAAATTCAAATACAGGAAGAAAAGTCCACTTGGTGGGACAGCCATGCAGATAACCTATTACTCTAAAAATCTTGCGAGTTCTCGGTGGGCCAAATTATTGCAAGCAGTATTTTTATCAAGGACAGGGGACACACAGTGTTGCATGTGATAACCTCTATGCAGTGTCATAATAAAAAGTAGTGCATAATAGCCATGAAATAGCTTAATCAATGGTGGTGTCAAAATAATGTCAAGGAACCTTTACTTAAAAACAGTGGGTGGTATTCTACTAACTTGTTCCTTCAGTGCAAAGATTTCCGCTTGCATAATGGAACTCCCCCTCCCCAAACCACTTCTGCAAGATTGGGTGAACCCCCAAAACCGATTTAAGGGGTGCGTGGGGAGAGTAGGGAGAAAGTTCCATTGCACAGACAAAAATACTTGCACTGATGGAACGAGTTAGCTAGCTGCTGCTCAGTGAACACATGCTTTGATGTGAACAGCACTGAAATGAATAAAGAATTATTTGTTTAGCGTACATGGTGACAGATACTTTGGGGAAAGTGTTGAAACCAGAGTTAGATTAGCAATCTTTAGAAAAGTTGGTGATACTGTGGGTGATAGTATTGCTAAATATTGCATTACTCATCTGAAGTTACTGAAAATACTTGCGTTGCTCTATTACAATTGTTCCATCAGTTTCAAGTATTTCTGCTTGCTAGACAGAACCATCTCCCCTGTCCTGCTCCCATACTGCTCTGGGGAGGGAGAGGTGTTCTCTCTCTCTCTCTCTCTCTCTCACACACACACAGAGAGAGAGAGAGAGAGAGAGAGAGAGAGAGAGAGAGACAGTTTCAGAGAGAGGCACAGATGCCCCATTGGTCTAACAGGACATTGCACTTGTTGTCACTAGGGCATGTATTTAGTTGAATCTAGCCCTCTGTCCAGATGCACAATAAAGAAATGTTGCACAGGGTCTTGATTATCCTCAGAGTAATAAAAGCCCTTCAGTCAGCAATGGAATGAAGCATTGCCTCTATATTTTAACAGATCTTATAGATCTACATTGAGCCATAAACATGGATGTCATACAGCACATGTGCATATGTTGACTATTATATTAGATGTCTGACATAACCCCACCCTCAAAGAGCAGACTTGGCAGCTGTTCAGTTGATTTTGTTTGGCTAAAGCCTCTGTCAGTGGCTAGATACCCAGACGGTCAGGACTGTGCTTTGTAGTAATTGTGGGGTTTTTTGCTGCATTTTTAAAGAAACAAAGGTTGCTGTTTTCAAGGTATGTTGGCAGTATTCTTAAGATATAGAAAGTCACATGAATTATTTTCTTCAATTTATTTATTTAGATGATCAGGCCCTCTTGATTATTTTTAGTGTGGCTCGATTGGCGGATTTACACCTAGGTTTTCATCTCTATGGCATAGGATGGTTTGGGGGCAGGTTACCTTGCCGGCATGTGTAAAATAGAGCATTGTGGACACACGCTAAATATTTTGAAATGCTTTGCATGCATTCCAGGTTGATTAAGGATGGGGGCGATGGGGTTTATAAATAAACGTATCTGCAAACGCAATCTTCACAGGGATTGTGCCAGTTTTCCTGAAGATCACTTGCTTGTCCCAAAGTGGCAGAGCAATTGTAGTGCAAAACCCCCAGCAGTGATGGCAACATCTCCCCCCACCTTTCTGTTTGCATCTTCTCTGGGAAATGCTCCCCACCTCCCTTAACACTTCATGTTCAGTGCTGTTATAGAGAAAACAGTTACTTGGCATACCCTCAAAATATGTAAAAGGTAGGACCTTTCAGTTACTGTGCTTTTATTTTTGTGGACAAACCAGGCATGATTCAAATCCTTGTGCACAGCAGTTTCCGTTTCCTTTTGTTTAAAATGAAATGTATGCTTGGAGATTCCCTGTTGTGGAGGTAGAAAGGAATGGGAAAGCCCCTGTAGGTGTGGGACTCTGCTTCTGAAACACATTTGGTGTGGGCGTGTATTATCTATATCTACACACACACATGCTCACAGAGCTGCTTTCTTTCTGGATGATTAATTCATTAGATTTCAAAATAACAATTCAATTAGCTGGTGCATTAGGGAAGTTGCTGAACTCAAGCTACTGTCTCCAGAGGAGAAACCTTTCAATTTTAATCCTTTTCCCTTGATGAATGGGGAAATGTCAACACCAGTTAGTCTGGATTTACTGTTTGGGTTAAGGATTTTTTTTTTTTTTACAGTAACTTGCTTGAAAAACCTACAAGAAAACCACTGGCATTGTGTGCCTTATTTTATAAATATCGGGCGCACATTAACTAAAGCAGCCTCTTCACCTAAGCCTCATTCTGGAGAGCTACATGTACTTGGAAATGCAGTCTGCCCTTTTATTTGAATAGAGGGTTCCAGTCTGCGCATGCAGGAACATATAAAGATGCCTTATTCTGAGTGAGACCAAGTTATTAAGTACATGCTGTCGATTCCTGACTGACAGCTGCTGTTCATGTTCTTAGGCAGCGCTCTTTCCCAGCCTTGCTACTTAAGCTCTTTTAACTGGAGGGCCCCGGCACTGGAGGAAATTTTATACATGCAGAGGATGTACTTGACCTATAAGATTCTTCCCACGTGTTTCTCTGTGTGTATGGATTAGGAGTGTCTGTTGAAATGAATGAACAAGCTTCTATAGTTGTTGCTTCTCCCGGTGTTCTTCATATGCACCAGGATATGGCTCTACAGCTGTAAAACTAATTATAGTAACAGTTGAGCATGGGTAGGACAACCGTGTTTCTTCTCCAGCAAATAGAAGGTTTAAGTTCCACTCCTAGTGTCAAAACGAACGGCACAAGACCTTTTGACTGCATTGTAAACATTTATATCATTGTATTCTGCAAATGTTAAGGAACTGGTTCCTTCTTGCTATAAATAACAGTATATAACAGAGGAGCTAAGGACCATGTGAGAAAGGGATTTGGGAGACTTCTCAAAGTCCTTGTATTTGGTCATCTACCTAGAGTAAACATCCTTTAATGTCAGTAGTTGTGAAAATAAAGGAAATTCATTTAAGACTTTACATTTATATTGTACTTTACATATGTGGTGGACCTGCCCAATCCAGCAGAGTTTCTGGAATCAAATGTTTGCAAACTGCAGTGCAGTCGTGGGGTAGACTGTGAATGCTGTGCTGGAAATTGCTTCATTGTCAGAGGCCCACTTTGCACATAACACTAAGTTAAACTGTGTCTCAGTATTAGCCAATAAAACAGCAGTATAGAAACATATACAAGTAAATTAAACAGAAATTCAGAAATTACTCAAACATGTAGGGCGGGGTCCAATCTTTTGCGTCAGGGAAAGCTGGTGCAAAAAGATATGCCTTCACAAGACATCTGAAGCAATGGATGGTTGCTGCTTTATGCATGGCAGAGTTGAGGGCATCCCACAGTACAGAGGCAACAACAGGAAATGCTTGTTTTGGGGTCACCACCCTCTGATACTGTCTAGGGTGCAGTGCCACAAGTAACATTTCTGCAAATGATCTAAGGATAGAGGGGGATGTGTGTGTAGTAGCTAGCCTACTATACAACAGGTAGATTTCAGAATGGCATAGCTGGAGAACAACAGCAAAGAGGAGCAAAGAGGCCATGATCCAGTCTCCCAAAACCTGGTTGTTTGTGTGGTGTGTGAACCATTCCGATGTAAATTATGTACTCTGAATACGCTAAAAAGCATTTCACGAATTCTAAGTATTATTTTTAGAAGTGGTAGTGAGAATAAGGGGAGGGGGGAAATCCCACTGGGCACATGCAAGACCTTGGGCATGCCTGAGCAGCACTGCAGATTCCAGCCATGATACATCCCTTCATCTAAGGAAAGGCAGCAACTGCTTTAGGCATGTCCAAAATGTGTGTGACTGCACACACATCCTTTGCACCAAACCCAGTAGTGACCCAAAAACATCATCAAAAGGCGGGGCGGGGTGTCTGCAGGCTTTCAATGGATGTTCCGATTATATGCGACTTCAATAAGCACACAGTGCCTCAAAATGTAATCCCTGCACAAATAGGTCACTGCTTGTAATGTAGCTTTTGAATGTAGATGCTTCCTTTTGTTCCAGCTGTGGATGTACTCTCACCCACAGGTAAGAGACTCCAGTTACATTTAAAAATGGCTTTGTGGGAGGGGAGCAGAGCTGTTCTTCTTTAATCCCAAAGGTTAGGTTTTTCACATGCAGTGCAGCTTTTCCTGTCAGGTTTAGCATGGAAGGCTGGAAGCATTTTCCTTCTCTGGTACTTCTAATTCAGTGTGTGGGAGGGCCCTTTGGAGACTGCACTCATATAAATGCTCATTTATTCAGTAAGCGCTGTGCTCAGCCTATTCAGAGAGGTGATTACAAACGCTCATTTTATTTTTGTTTAATTTTTGTCAGGGGTGATTCTGCTGTCTGAAGACCTGGCACGAGAAATGGGGTCAGGAGGTGTTTGCTCGGGAAGTCTCTAGGAACAGAACTGGAAATTTGCCAGACAACACTGAGTCATAATATACATGCTCCAAGCTATCGCAGTACCTTATGAACTCACTCTTCAAATAAAATAATCACTGTTGTCAAGCTGTATACATACAATAAAACAAATAGCCTAGCTTCTCCTCTAGAGGTTCTATGCTACATTGGACTCTGGCTCCTGTTTGCTGAAGGCTAGTCTTAACCTTAAATCTGCTGATGTCTTTAACAGGAGGAAACTAAGGCAGAAACTCATGGTCTTTTAAGTCAAGTTAGCACAATACAGAAGCATGGTGCCAGAGCAACATACAAAGTTTAAAATACATTGTTACCAGCCTGATTTCTGGCATGCACAGCAGAACACCACCTTGAAGATCTCAGCTGGCAGACAGTATCATACAATTGGAGAATTGGAGAGTTGGAATGGACCACGAGGGTCATCTAGTCCAAATCCCCTGCAATGCAGGAATCTTTTCCCAAACATGAGGCACGGACCCACAACTCAGAGATTCAGAGTCTCGTGCTTTACTGACTCAGCCATTTAGGGTTTTAAAAGTCAGAACCAGCACTTTGAATCGGGCTGGACACGAATCAGAAGTCAGTGCAAGAATGATGTGAAGAGTGCAAATGATGTGAAGATGCCTAGCAGAAATATGGGAATGAACTCTGCTTAGCAGTACTTGAGTGTGAAAACATACTATTAGAAGTGTGTGTGTGTGTGTGTGTGTGTGTGAAAATAGTAGGTGTTTGGTTGGTGGTGTTAATTAAAATTACATTTAAATATATAAGGGTTTCAAAGTGACATACAGGAAAACAAAGCAAAATGAAAACACACACCACAATCCCACCCCCACCCCACCCCCCAGAAAAACACCTCAGTGATAAAACAGGAAAATTGCATTTCGGATCTAGAGTGGGAGCTAGATTAGCTGAACTTGCTTGTATTTTCCAGATCTGATATTACATAGATTTACACCACCAGGAATTATATCAGCTTAGCAGCTGTATTTTCCAGTATCTACAGAAGGGGAACCAGCAATAATCTCCTTCTAATTCAACTTTTAAATGACAAATTGTCCACAACCAAGGCAAACTGTATGTCAGAAATACCTTTCACTTGAGTCTCCTTTTCAGTGTCCTCTGTGTTAGACTGAAGACGGCGATGTCCCAGAAGATGGATTGTACCTTTCGTAGGTCACTAGCTCTGCTGTTCAGTGTGTGCCAGGAATAATTTAAAAATTAATCCTATCAGCAGAATTCACTCTGTCAGTGAAACAATACAAACGGCTGCGTTTTCTCTCTTCACGTCCTAATTAATTAGATTTTAGGCTAGTTAATTAAATTGTAGGTTTCTTGCTTTCTGCTAGAATTCTACGTGAAACACATCTTAGATAAGCATGCATTCTTTTTTCAGATACCGAAAAGAAAAAATCGCTTTCACTGATGTGTAATCATGATTGCAAACTTTTATGAAGACCCTGTCCATATAACGTTGCTGATCTCCCTTTGCTTCGTCCTCATCTCCCTGTGCCTCTGCAGTATTTAGATTGCAAGCATGTGAGCAGGGTCTTGTCGTTAGTTTTCATTTTTGTGTGTGAAGCTCCTGAAGCATTACACGGCTTTAATAGGAGCAGAAATGTGCTTTTTGCGGGGGGGGGGGGACAGGACGACTCATCTTTGAGCTTATTTCAGGTTAATAGCAAAAGTGGTGTGTTGTGCTCTTTCAGCCGAGAAGTAGAAATTATAAAAAGTATTGTGTATGCTTTGTTTTCATTGTTTTGTTTTTGCATGTGGTGTGTATATCTGTGCGTACACACATACATACAAACAAACAAACAAACAAGCAGTAGTTGCACACTGGGTCAAACAAGGTACACCTCATGTTTCCAATTTCTTAACCGTGAATAAGGGATTGGGAGCAAGTTCCAGCATCATGTATCGCCCTTCCATGGCCTTTCGCTGACTTAATCATGCCAAGCATTTCCTAACAGAAGTGGACATTTCCTATTTTGATTGACTTATATAAGTGCTAACTTTAATTATTAGTTAACACTAAGACTTACTGGCGTGGTTCACATAACTTGGTTAGCCAAGCTCTGACTTCAGACTACTGGCCATCTGCTCCTCTACTTATCTCCAGTCTTTTTTTACTTCTGTGCACACTAACCACCTCAAAATTAGCGAGGAGAGAGTTTAACCAGAAGTCTGGGTTTGGACAACACACAAAATTTGACATAGCTCAGTATAGCAATAAAATATGTGAAATACCCCATTAACATGTCTCATATGGATGTGACCAAGTTGTGACTCTGATTATCATTAGATTTTGAAAACCTTGGACCTGACACTTAGGTTATTTCAACAACAAGGCAACCACCGCAACAACAAACCTTCCAATTCCGTGACTCTTGACACTGAGCAGCTTTAATCCAGTTTTCCAAGGACTGATGTGATGTGGGGTGGAACTGCAAGGTGGGCTTCTCGTGTGGTGCTTCTTTAGTTTCTATTGCATACTTTATGAATATTCAAGGTTATTTGCTGGGAAGGGATTGTCTTTCAGATATCATTTTTGTGGTTATTTTCCTCATTTCCGTGCTCGTGATGAACCTACTGGTGGGGGCTGGCTGTGTGCAAGAAAATAAGAAACGTTCTAATTTTTGTTTGGGCATGCTTGCCTTGAGAACGCTTCCACAGATGCTGTCGTTCTGGCTCAAATGTGCATATGCTTCATGTTCAAAGGAATCTAGGCATAATTTTCTCCTGTTACTGTGCAGTAGTGTTTCCCCAGTGTATAATGATCGTCTTCTGCCAAATTGCTAACTTGCTTTGCTATCACTACTATTTTGCTGCCTGTTTTCCTTTTCAGGCAGTCAAGTAATCTGTCACAGAACTGAAAGCAAACATTTGGGCTCAGTGATCAGAGGATTGCTTTCAGCCTTAAGTATCCAGGATGTATCTCGCTCAAAATAGGTTTTTGTTTTTGTTAAAAAAATGTTGCAGTCTTATTGACCATACTTGTCATGCAGCGTGTAAACTTTCTTACCCTCTGGAATGGATTATTGATACTGGTGTTTGGATTTCTTACTGAACTGTGTTAGTGAATTGGCTCATGTTTTCCAAAATGAAGGTCATCCAAAAAACTCTAATTTTCTCACTTGGCTGTGGTGCAGCCCTTGAGAAACTCTAGGGCAAAGAACTGTTTTCAAAAAACATGTTGGCAGAATGGGGAAATTGGAACATAGGAAACATGATAGCAAAAGATTAGTATTTTATATGGATTGTATCCAGCTAAATTCAGTTCAGAATATACCCACTGAAGTTAACGGGCCTGTTAGTCTACTCCCCCCCCCTTTTTAATTTATTTAATAATTTGACAATAATTATGAATAATCAACAAAACCCTGCTCCAAAAAATACTTTGCATCACAATATTATGCAAGTACGCATGAATTAACATAAAATTACAGCCTTATTCTTACAAAACCTAAAGACCTATTTGAACTTGCTTTTGCAGAGATAATTATTGGCAATAATGTAGAAGGCAATCAGTTTCCCCAGAATTTATGTCTGCATTCACTTGCAGTTGTTGTTATTAGATAAGAAGGGTTTTTTTGCCATCATAGCCAAATCCCCAAGTTTGTTAAACCATTCTTTCCAGGGAGGCAGTAATGTAACATGTTTTCAACCAATAACATCCTTGCAGATGTTAACAAATAGGGTGGAATTCAGTGTTGCGCTATTACAATTGTTCTGTCTACGCAAGCATTGCAGTTTGCCAGATAGAACAACCCCCATCCCCCATGTGCTGTCCCAGGGGTTCTCCCACACAAACCCAGCCAATTTCAGGAGGTGCAGGAACACATGGGGGGGCAGAAGTGGAGCGGGGGGGGGGGAAGCCCCATCGCGCAAGAGGGTGTTCTTGGCAGGGCTGCCACTGATGGGGTTCATTGGGTGAATTCCGCCCATAGGGTTTAAGTTTGTTATCTTCCTTCTTTTTGGTGGTGATAAGGGAACTTCATATTTCAATATTTCTGTAATTATTCTAATAATCATCTTCCAGTATTTTTGGGCTCAACTAAATGTCTGCCACATATGGTAAACTGTTCCATTCTCCTTTTTGCACCTCCAGCAAATTTTGAATATGACTTATTTATTGCTCTCTTCTATTAAAAATTAAAGCCAAGAAAACAGAAGTCTTACATTTTTGCGTGTTTCATTTTATTTGCTTATTTCTTCAAAAGAATGTTTTTTAATCCTATCCATTATCCTATATACCTTACAGTGGTATTTTGTCTTCACAACAACCCCAAAAGTTTGTTTTTTGAAAAAGCTGAAAACTCATTTTGACAGCCAAAATAACGTATATGTGCATGTTTTGAAATATTAAGTAAAATGTCTCGTTTCTTTTTTTCTTGTCCTATTAGGATGATAGTGATGGGATTCCATGGTCGGAGGAGAGGGTGGTACGAAAAGTCCTTTACTTATCCCTAAAGGAATTCAAGAATGCGCAGAAGAGGCAGCATGGGGATGGCATCAATGGGAGTCTCAAAGGCGTGAATGGTAAGTCTCTTGGCGGATCGTCTTTGCTCCAGCTCTGTGTGCTATGTTTGGGAGTCACAGCAGAAGTTTCTTGGAGCCTGCTTTCCCCCTTCTGTTTCCCTGTTATGTGTCACATCATACAACTGTGTGAGCAGTCAGTTCATTGAGGGGGAAGGAACTTGCTTTCCATGTTTCTGGCAACCTCTTTTGGAACCCTGTTTCTTCCTGAGCAAGATCACGTCTACATAGTCTAGCATTGCAGTCTCTCACCATGATCGAAAGACTAATGGAGAATTGATGTACGGTTTTATGATGAAGAGAAGTGCACCGGTTTGGAAACTCGTGGAAGCAGCGGAGTGGTAAAATTGTTTTTGTTGCATGGAGAAGTGATACAGATGACTGTCTTCTTGCTGCAGTGGTCATACATTTGCATAACTTAAATAACTTGCATAACTAAAATGCCCGTCTATATTTGCTCATGTTTGTGTATTGCATAGGCAATCATTAAAAAATTACCCTTTTCAAATTAGTTGAGCCTCATGCAGAATATTCTGGAGCATTCTTTTAACAAATATTTTCACTAAACGAAAGGAGGAGAAATGTCACTGTATACCTTCTTATTTAGCTTTCGTTTGACAACCACAGCAGTTCCTTCCAACCTATCTAGAGTATTCCCCAAATGTCTGCATAACTGCATGCTTACCAGCATATTACAACAGCAGCTGGCTGCTTGTGTAGTTTTCCTTGTGCTTGTACGTTGCATCATTTCTGATGCGTCATATTTCAGCACTTACTCATTGAGAACTTGGGTGTTTGTTAATAAAGATACAAGGATGTGAGCTGTTTATCTACAGAAGATCTACTGCGCGGTCAATTTATAGCATCTCACATCTGAAAAAGAAACTCCCTCAGTTTTCTCAGCTTAGTAATAAATAGCAATCTGAAAGATAGTCATGTTTTAGCAGCAAACCATACCAATTTTCCTAGACAAGTACACACAACAGCTTC